TCATCTGAGATGACAGGGAACAAAAGCAGGCTTTGAGCTGTGGGTTTAAAGTCGTGTAGTTTCTGTGGTCTTGAACTCACTATTGCTGTATTAGCTCTTCATGTGTGCCTTAAAGTACTGCTGTTTGAAAAAAAACTACCAGAGAACAGCATTCATCACTTACTGTTCACAATAGCCGTAGGCAAAATAGATGCCATTGCGGCTTGTTGAGGGAGCAACTGTATGGAGTCCAGCAGGCGTGCAGGATACATCCCTTCTGTGAGAGTCATCTGACTAGCAGCTTGCAGCCTCGAGTCAAAATCTACAACAAAGGCAATCAGCTCTTCGCCCTCAGAGATGGCCTTGGTCGTAGTACACCAAAGCTGCCCTCCTACGGGAAACATAAAAGTAGAAAGATTTAATTGACGATATCAGATTCCAGAACTTAAAACATCAGTGCTGTATCTTCACACTCTTTTATAGATTTCAATAGCTTGTTCAAGGTACAGAGGCAAATAATTTTTACTTTTACTGCCTTCCTTCTGTCAACATAGGAATCTTCAGTGTAGAAGTACAATAATTTGTGAATACTTTTCCTAAAACTTTTACTGTTTGCAGTATGAATATTCATTTTAATTTTTCATTTTGTCTTCTAAAAGGCCAGCATTATGAAAATCAAGATATAGATGAAAATATTTTAAATGGCACTTTTCCCATCATTAGTTTTCACAAAACTTCCTGTATATTTTTTCATTACTCCAAGTTTGTTTTATTTTGAATACCAAATCACAGCACAATAAAATCAAACAGCTGCGAGAAAGAAATCAGATTTCCTCTTCAGGGTGTTCTTCCCCTCCCTTATGTTTGCCAACCTCTTTCTCTAAAAAATCTTCCCTTATGTAATATTCTTCATAACATGACTGCTTTATCTCTGCTTACACTGACTGAACTTCCTGAAAAGAAGATATGCCAAAGATCTGTTTCATAAAGGCTTATTCAAATAAAGGTTTGTTTAAAAGGAGGGGGAGGTGGAAGAACTTTCATCAAACAGTAAGATACACTATAGCTCTGTGCTGCAAATGTCACGTGTAGTGCATTAAAAAGAAAATTAACTATGCGAGTACATCTACTAATGTATTTGAATGCGATAGTGAATGCTCATTTATTTAACATGTTTAGACAGGCAAAGCACTTATATTGTGTTATCTACACTCTCAGGCCTAGATACATATCCAATACAGTTATGCCTGAAATAATGTTGCATACTTTATATGTTATAAAGCTTTTTTTCCTCAGGTTTTGTATATATAGAAAAAGCTATATGTTGTATTCATTAGGCAAGCAAAAACTGTACTCATTTTGATAAGTAATATTGCTGTGTTTATCTTTCGGCATAACTGCCTTTTCAACTGCACTTCATTTTTTTTCCCCTCAAAGAGATTATAGTTTTAAAACAACTTGTTGCAAAAATCTGGTAGAGGAGATAACAACAGTGTATGATATGCCACAGCTAAATGGAAGAATTAGGGCATTGTTTTAGAGAAATCTTGGACAATTAATTAAACCAGTCTATTAGCTTTCAAAGATGAGCAAACAAAACAGCATCAGTGACAATGTGTTTCAGTGGAAAAATAAAGCTAAGCTTCCAGACCTTAAGGTGGTGTAAAAGTTTCAAAGCGGAAAAGTGCCTTTGTATTCACCCTTCAGTAATACAGCAGCCGAAGGTGGCTCCAAAGTTTACAAACAATTTACTGTTATGGGACCAAAGCATATGAAGGTTTACTACTCTCCAAAATTACAGCGTTAAGTGGTGCAAATCTGAATAATTTCCTCCAGAGAATAAGAAGATGAAATGTGAAGATAGTGCTATAAATGTCTACAAATGTAGAATCCTAATGCCCAAGCAGAAATTCAAACACTTGAGAAGCTCGGTCTGACTTACTGCGTGATATAAGTCAGGAGTAAATATACAGAAGCCTTCAGAGTTAAACTGGTATAAGACCTGTTCAAGAGAGAACCAGGCTAAATTCCTGAAGTGTACTTAATTGGCCTCCTAGATAAAAAAAGGTGATGCACTTGCTGCAAATTGAGAACCTGAAACTGGGTACTCTCCCTGCAAACACCACGCAGGTCATTTTCTGGGAGGAACAGGGCTTCCATTATTAACATGCACTTCTAATTTAGTTATACACAGAAAGTGTAATAATCAAACAACATGTTTCAGTATATTTTAATACAGAGTAAGAGCTCTTCCTAGGCTGTATTATTCTCTGGATTTCTTAATAAAACAAAAATGAGTCAGTGCAGAAGAACCACCTGAGACTTTCTCTATCCCAGCAAACATCTTGACATGCTGTATCCTTGAGGGGGGAAAAGAGAAAGCGTAGTTGATTACTGGGTCTCCAGCTGCAATCAGTCTGGATCAGCTAAAAGGCTGACTCAGTCTCCTGGCGTTGGAGCTCCTCAGGGTGTTGACTCATGTCCAGCAGCAGATTAAACTTGGACAGCTGAAGCCAGCGATGACCTCGGCTGCCTGCTCCACCCAGTTCCTGGAGGCTGTCACACCTATGGCAGGCACAACCAAGTGGGATGCGTGACAGCTCTGGAAGCACGACAATCTCTAGCTTGGCTTATTAAAGGAAATCAGAACTACAGCAGCTTAATCCACTCCTGCATTTGAATACAAACCTTCAGCCCAGCAGGATTCAGATCCAAGAATTACACTGTTATTTTTTCTTTCACACCAGTCTATAGAAAATAAGGCACTTAAGTGATCATGACATATATGTCCATGTTTTCATCAGTACATGATACCGCGTTAAGTTAAATACCCAGAGGATGTCCCAAATGATGCATCCTCCCAGCTACTGGAAATGCAGCAACCGTCACCCACTGGGACAGGACACAGCACAGTGGCCCCCATCCCCTTCTCTGCACGCTTGCACAGCATGAGGTAATAGGTGCTGTTTTTGAAAGATGCAAACGACTTCCCTTAATGCAGTGAATATGAACATGCTGGCCTTCATGCACAGAGAAATGTAAAGGCCTGTTACTTTTATGAGATGAAGTTCTGAATAAGACGGCTAGAAATATTTTAACCAATTGTTCCTTTTGTCAGAAAAAGCTCAAAGAGCTGAAATTATTCTAACAAAGCTTTTACCAGGCTAACTTTCTCTAATCCTAAACCAGACGCTGTCATCAGAACAAGAGAAAGGAAGGACATCCAGATAAGCTCTAATAGGGACGAGTGACTGACAGTGCCTCAGAAATGAAGTCCTGGTTATATTATTTGGTTAGAAAGCTAGTGATTTTGGTTATACTGGTGATTTTGGCCCTCTTCTCACCCATAATGAGTACACTGGTCATCTGTTTATACTGAAAAGGGTCTTACTGGTTTTACATGGTGGGATAAGAAAAGTCTTACTCTTGTTCCCAGCAGAACTGAAGTTTCTGAAATACCAGAAGGCTCTGTGACCTTGGCAGGCTGTTTTCTCTACAAGTCTAGATTTGACTCTGTGAAATTGAAAATAAGCTTCTTGAGCCTTCAATGTATTTTTTTATATCTATGTTTAAACCAAAGAAATTTACATGATTTCTAAAACGCTCATGTCAAGCAGAAGAAGAGAATAAAAAATGTCTGTAAGCACTACCTATTTATTTGAGCTCTTTTTCTAGTTCTCATTTTAAGGAATTAGAAATGTTTATTTAATCATTGAAAGTTGGGAGAGTTAAAGAATATAACGTTGTGCAAACTAGAGCGAAAAATAACATTCTAATTGCCTTGGCATGAGTTCTTTATCAAATGACATCAGGCACTGAAGCAGCTATCTGATACCTTCTGAGTTTCCACCAAATGGAAAGGTTAATTCAGGATTCCCTTCTTTGTCTGCATCTTTCACTGCAAATATTTCTGCTGCTTAAAAAAAACCACAACCCAACACCCTTGAATAAAAAATAAACAACCAAAAAAAGCCCCCCAAAACCAAACCAGCTTTCTAAGCAGAGGAAAAAGTAAGGTCCTGATGTGCCTGAAAAACTGTGGACTTACTGTTCTTTGTAATGTTTATGATCAAGATTCTTGTGCAAACAGATCTGGTTCCTAACAGGAAGCTTATAAATCATACTCATAATTGCTGTCAAAACTGCAGTGGAGTGTACTGCAAGTTTTGATAATAAAGAATAGAGTCACAGTTCAAACTTGATTACATTTTGGAAATTCATGCTGCTCTTACAAGAATCAGTGGTCTTAAATATCTTCTTCTTCTGCCAAATTTTTCACTTGCACTTTTTATTATTTATGAAATCAATGTCTGCACAATGTCATGCAGACCTCTGCTGATAAACTCTAATTAAGATTAAGACAAACCTTTTGGAAAGGATCCCATCATTAGCAAACATGATAAACACAAAAATACTCCCTACTTGTCAACCAGGAGCAATTCAGTAACCTAACAGTATTATCTGTTGCTAGGCTACAGAGCTGACAAAGCTTCAATTATATTGTATGGCCATACCTATAGAATACTGTATAAGCAAAATGTATCTAATATAAAAGCATTTAACTTCATCCATGCTATCTGTAATTCATGACTCCCTTCAATGGCAAAAATCAGGTTAATAATTACATAGCATGGTGGAAAAATCTTAGCGAGGTGTCACGTTTGCACAATTTTTTCTAATTTATCTCTATGATTGATAGACATTTGCTTTGTAAAAATAATAAAATGCAAGCAATGGGATGCTGTAAATCACAAGCGCAACTACATCTGGGCTCATCAAGATATGGAACCTCACTTAGTATAAAAAATATAGAGTAAATTGAACCAATTAAATCATATTTAGATGCAGTAATACTCTATCTTCTGTATTCAGAATAAGGAGTACTGTGGTGATAGATAGGCATGCTAATACAAAACTTTATTTTATGTAGGGCAGACATCTAAAATACAAGAGAAACTTGCTACTTTTTTTAACAGCCCTTCATTTTTTCCTTCTACATTTGGATCTTTTTTTTTAAACAAAGCAACCTGTATTATCCTATTTGGTATCAGCAATGTGCTCTGAAGATTTAACTAAAGTGATGGCCCTTGACCTGTTTTGATTCTCAGAACCTTAAGACAGTGCCAGGGAGGATGCAGACCCCAGCACAGTCAGCCTTCTCATCATGGGCTTCTTTTTTAACACTTATTTTTGCAGACCATAAGGACTGATCATTTGGGCTCTGTGCGTCACAGTCTGAAGAAAAATATATTTAAGGACTGACTCCCCCATTAACTCCACTGGGAGAAATGAGATTCAAAATGGATGGAACCACAAAGCCTCTTGGTTCATACTGTTGCTTTTAGGAAAGTGACTTAGGAAAGCAAATAGCTTAAAGCAACATCTCCATTGAGCGCAGCTGTTTCATGGAAGGAAGTGCAGCTATTTTTTCACAGATGAATAAGTGTAACGACAATAAAAACATATATTCAAAGGCAATCCCAGTTTTCTTGCCCTTAGTATTAGGCAGTTTTCCTTGCTGCACCATCTCACTCCAGTTTTTTGACCCATAAATGGCATACACCTTTCATAGAAGTTTAGGAAATCTAAAGCAATTTCTATTAAAACCAATTTTCAGTGCCAGTTAATTGGGAAGTACTACTTTTATGCAGTAAAATTTGTGCTTACTGGATTTGATTGTGTTGCTGCAACAACATAATAGCCCATTTCCTGTACACACATCTTTTGGCAAGAAGGGTCAAAAGACTATCAGAATTTATTTAAACAACAGTCTGTTACTCTTAGCAACTTCCAGGCACCGTCAACGGAATTAAACGTTCCTCTCCCAATGAAATATTCCGATTTGTAAAAAAATGATGCTTTTTCGTAATGGCAATGGGGGTTGGAATAAATTTATTATCTTCCCTCCTTTGTTGCACAGGTTAAGCATTTAAGGAGAATTTGCACATCACAATAGCACGGGATCTGCGTATTTGGGTTCCTCCTGCTTCTCACCCATGAGGTTGTGACGACTCAGCATAATGAAAGCCATTCCAGTGGTGCACAAATTACTGGGCAGATCTCTAATTTTTGACATGAAAAAAGTACATATATCTATATGTAGACACATTGTTTAATAAAAAATTATAATTAATTCAAATCCAATACTGTTGAAATTTTTGACAGTAGAGTGGTACGAGGAACAGAACTTATAAATTATGTGTGCCCCTTCTTTGAAAAATGCTTTGGAGGTTTCTTTGTGCATTGGCAAATACTGTAGGAATATGAGGTATTGTGTGGATCCTCCTGCACAGCACCTGATAAAAGAATAAAGAGCTGTGACATATTCTTAAAACAATAGAGGAATTAAAGAGAAACAATGGGCCAGCTGCTTCATTAATACAATCAAAAGAGAGCCCAGCACAGAGGAGTCCAGATAATTAAGCACTACTCTTTTAGACCTTTTTTCTATAATAAAATTGCTAAAAATGTATTAACTACTTCATAGTTGTTAGATAGACCTATGTACTTGTTTATTTAGGTTGATTAATGCCTTTTCAGTATTCTACAACATGCCAACTCATGGTTCATACAAGTTTTTGAATAAAATAATGTAAGAATAAGTGATATGGATCGGTGGTATATACAGCAATAAATCAAAAGCATTTTGTGAACAGTCTTTCTAGTTGCTAAATAATTCTTTGCATTTTTCACATGCGTACACAAAATATGTACTTTGCACAGCATTTTTGCTAGTCATGTATTTTAATGCTAAGGTTCCAACCATCTGTCCGTGAAGTGTCTCAAAAATCATCCCTGCAAATTCAGACTTCTTAAACTCTTATGAAAAATAGTTTTAGTGCTACATTAGGACTAATGAGATGATTTCCTAGTGTCTTCTATCATTTTTCCTTGCTTACTGATCAAAGGAGGTTGCCAAAATATATTTGACCTTTAATTTTAAGTAAACATATTATCAGTCCACAGTGTTGTGACTGCAGAAAAAAAAAGTAAAATATATTATAGTCTACAGAATTAGACCAAGACAGTGGACAAGCCAGTTCTATTGCCACTTTTACTATTACCTTTATGCTCAGCACAAAATATGGAGCCTGCTTGATTTTTAACTCACTGAACAAACTGCAAAATAAAGAAATTGCAGCAACGATATTTTTCAGAACAAAACAACAGAACACTCAGCTTAAAGGCATGAGCCAAACTGTAGAAGGTGGCTTTAAAATCCCTGCATTTTGAGATATAAAATGTCTGACTAGAAACAGGGAGAAAAATGCTCCTTCAGAATATAGCTCTTACTTCTAGCGCCTGAGTCAGTCTAAGCTTTGGACCTGACTTCAGCTTAGTCATTTGCTGACAGTCAACAGGGTTTTTATCTGAAAAGATGATTTTATAGTTAAATCTGTCAGGCATTATATAGCGGATGAAGAGAAAAAGAAAAATATTAAAGGATCTTGTCAGTCCTAGAGGAGTGAACTCCCAAACCTGGCATCTGTGTCAGTGTAAGGGGCAGCTCTTTCCCTTGCTGCAGCACGACTATTGCCAGCATCGTGACCCGTATTGCAGCAGCTCTCGAATTAAGAGATCAGCTGAACCACAAATGAAACACAGTTTCTGAAGAGGAAGGAGTATAACAAACACTTAAGTTTCACCTCTTATTTTTCCACTGTTGTCTGCCTGCTTTTTGTTAGTTTGAGGATTTCTATTTGTTTCCTCCAATTAAATGTCCGGGTGTAACACTCAACAGAGCTCTATTAGGTAAAGAGGCAAAATAGATTAGTGCTCAGAAAATATTCACAGGAAAATAATGTGGTAATTTTATTTGCCATTTTCCCCCCGATAGAGCTGTCACAGCTTATTTACCACAGGGGGAGACAGTTAAACCCATATCCTTAGAAGTTCTATGCATTTAAGAGGCTTATATATCTCTTCTGGGACCCTCGTTCAAATCCTGGGCTAATCAGAGTGAATACATATCTTTCTATTAGATGGCTCTAAAAAGTCTTAGGTGATATCAGTTCCTGGTGGACGACAGTCCACAGCGTAAAACTATTAAATGTTTGGCACAAATGGCAATACTTACGGAGTGAAGCTGAAAACTGTAATATCCTCCCACATCACAAGAAGTTAAGTCTGCTGCTCAGAGGTTGAAATTAAAGCCTGGCACAAATGCTAAACCTGTTATATTTCCCTAATTCAGCATAAACTCAAACAAGGAAGTCGAAGGAGTTCTTTCACAAGTTTAGCAATTTCTTCCCCTTTTTGGGGGTTTTTCTTTTCAAATTCCTCTGTTTTGAATCGAGTACCACACCTTTGTTACATGTGAATTGTTATTTCAGAATTTACTAGTCCTTCAGAAAGGAAATGATAAACAGCTTGAAAAAAAACCCAGTAAACTCTTGCTGACATTGCCCGCGTTGCACTCCCATCACCACTGCAAAGGAGCCAGCACTCACTGTCACAGCAAATGCATCTCCCCTTTTACTTTTCACAGGATCAGTGAATGGGCACTCTCCAAAAGCTCCCCAGGAGACATTCCCAGGTGACTCTCACTGCTTCCCTCAGCTTTTGTGGATGTACCAGGTTTCAGAGAGAGAGAAAATGGACCACTGAAACCAACTACTCTGCAGCAGGGCTCTGGATACACACATTCCCACAATCCCCGCTTCCCTAACAGCACAGCTGTAAAATGACCTTTTTGTAGCCCTACAAACACAATCATGCCTGCGGATTGTCTTTTCAGAGTTATTTTGTGAGACTGGAGTGTATGAAAAAAGGTGGTGATTAAATGAGACAATAGATATGCTTTAATGGCACCTCTTTCTTACAAAGAAAGCAGAGTACGCTACATCTTATCAATGGATTTTCTGCTGTCTTGCACCTGCTATGGGAGGGCTCCTCTCTTGACCCTGGGCAAATGTAGAGTGAATGGCAATGGTACCTGAGCGGGAGGAAGGATTATGTAGAGGAAGCAGGATTGATAGGCTGTATTTGTAAAGAAAATAAACATATTAAATAGAAGGACAAATGGGGAAGTTACAGAACGGCAAAACCAAAGTAAGTAAATATGGGCTATGAGACCTGGTTGCTTATTCAATACAGGGGCCATGGTCCAGAAGAAGCTCAAGGCTGTGCGTGAAACAAAAGCCACATTTTATAATGGACAGAAGCTGGAGCGTTTCGTTGTGTGCACTGTAACCCTGAGAAAACAGCAGCTATTTTTGCCAGTTATCTTGGACCTTCCCTCCCGTTAATGTTCAGCTCGCAGGTTGAAGTTCAGGAACTGGTTTACCTCAGCTATAACAACCATGAGAGCAAAGTAGCACTTCTTGATTCAAAAAAAGTCTTGCTCCCACTTGAGCCATTAGAACATTTAATATTGGCTGCAGTGGGAACAAGACTCTGTGACAAACCAGTGGCTCTATTACTAAACAAACAACTAAGTAAAAGGCATTAAAAGTAGATTTGCATGTTTAATGTCCTAAAATGTAAATGTCATAGAAGGTACAATAAGCACCTAACCCAGTCTTTTCCATCTAAAAAGTACCTAATTTTAAAAAAAACCACCACCACATACACAAAACCCTTACCGAAACCCTAGCTTTCCTCCAGATGTGTTAAAAGCCAGGTATTATAGTTCTGCCTTTTGAAGTAGAAGCTGGAAAAAGGACTGAAAATTCATGACAATCAAAAGCATTTCCACCTTCCAAGCTTTATGCAAAATCCAAAGTAAACAAGCATTGTGGTTACACTGCCAGTCTACCATTTTAGTTCATCGAGTGACAGAGACTGTTAACAGCAGAAAGCAAATCCTGTAATAGTAACAGCAAGACTGAGCTACTTCTGGTCACTACTGAAATACATAAAAGAAGACTAACATGGATTAGCAATTAAAGAGGATTCTGTACTTGATGATTTCTTCCAAAACAGATTTAATAAGAAATACCAGTTTACTGAGCATCATACAGGTGCACAGGAGCTGCCATTCTGCCTGCCTGGTCAGCATGATTTCTAAATGGCCAGGAAAGAAGCGACTGTATACCCAAAGGCAAGCTGTCAAAATTCAGGCTGCAGCTGATAAACTGATTACAAAGCTGCTTAAGACTTTGCTTGTAAACAAAAGCATTTATCAACTAATAATTTGCAATAAACTGATGTAACTCCCAGCTGAGCCCCAAACTGTAATTGTCTTTACCATCTGCCTATTAAAATACCATTCTTCATCACCAACAGGAGCAGAAGGGAGAGAATCTCCAACAACTACATAACTTGCATGCTTATAAATAATCTGTGAGCATTTCACACGTTCATTATGACTGCCAGGTTTTGTACACTTCATTTTCTCTTTTTGAGAGGCAGAGAGGTGCTGTAAAGTGGCAGAAAAGAAATTAATAAATACTGCCTGGTGCAAGGAAAAATTATGTAAGTTCATCATACTCTGCTGTTTCTTAATTTTTTTCTCTTTTTGCTAGTCCATAGGAATATCATGATGGAAGCCCCCTCAAGCACAACTTTGCAGATTAAACTCTCCATTTCTTTTCAACTTGTCAGTTTTCATTACCTCCCTTTCTTATGCATTCCCTTCTTACAGCTGCTTCAATGGGGAGCCAGTTAAAGCATGCTGGCTCCCCAGGGGGAAGTCTGCCGGGGCCTGAGGGATTCTGCAGACCTCTACAGGGTCACACTTAAGAGCATTTTGCCTCTTTCGCTGACAGGCTTTCTGAAAATTAAGTGAATGTACATGCTTTTATTTTCTAGCTATTGACAGCCTTCGTCCTGAGAAAGGTGGCAAGAGTTAGACAAAGTTCAAAATTAACCAATTCAGATGCTCTAAAGCTGATACACCCCGAAGGAAGAATCACTTTGTTAAACGCCTAAAATATTCAAGTATGAGGGGGAGAAAACAGGAGAATTGATACCGTACAGAGAACAGCAGCCCCTCAAGATGTGTCTGCATTAAAAATTGAATTTAACAGAGAATTGCACCATGATTTAGCGCAATGCACTCAAACAACTATTTCCGCAGTCTGCACTCTCAGACACCCACTGTTGTGAAGGCAAAGCTGTGACCAGAGACCTACAACTAATTTACCTCTTCAGAAATATCTGTACACAAAGCACAGATGCTTTAAATGCAACTTGATTTCTCATTGACTTTCCAGATTCAGACTGAAATGATTTATTTAGCTGAAGTGAGGCTTTTCATGTGTACGGAAAATATTTTAAGTCATCACTGAGAGGAAAAGGGAGATCTAAAAGAAAAAGAGGAAAGTTCCTCCTGTTAATTGATTGTTGATCTGTTAACTGTATTGAAATACAAGAAAATAAAGGATGATCCCGTCACCCATGCTCACAGCAGCAATCTCGTTTTCTCTGGTGATGATCCTTCTCCACCTCTTAGTGCCTTTGTCCGACCCTTTGTTACTATTGGAGTTGCCTGCAGAACACCACCCCATTCCCAACAACTGAAAACAGAAATTAAAGCTCAAGATAGTTTGGGACCTATGGATGTAACTGCTTAAGATGCGTTTCACACAACTATGCTTGCTTAAGATGCATTCCACAGAATTATGCTTGTAAACTAAAGGAATTTTACATGTATGTAATTGCACATACTCCTGAATATGCTGGCTGTATTGGGTCTGTTTGTATCCATAGTCCTGGGACAAGATCCAAATAGAAAATATAGGATGAAATAGAGGGAAAAGTGAGCAACAGCATGCATGGGTACAGAAAACGCACATACAATTTTTTTTTAATTAATGTTGTAAAGAAAAAATTTCATTAAACATTAAGACATGGTAATGAAAAGGACCTTTCAAATCTCTGTAGTTAAAAATCATAATGTAAATTAGTTAAGTACCAACTTTAAATAATTTGGTAGGGTATGATCCCTAGCATGATAATACTGAGTTACGTTATAAAGTTAGAAGAGTCAAGTTAGAGTGTTAACAATTACTTTTTTTAAAAATCATCATAAAAAAATAGAAATCAGAAAATACTGAAAGACACCAAGCTGGAATTTAAAATTTCTTGTGGTTGCCATACAAAAGGCTATGTTGAAAGAATTTGCCATTGAAATATTATTTGTAATATCCAGAACCTTATTTTGTATTTCTCAAGTTCCTTAAAAATCACAATTGTTATTTATGCAAATAAATCTGAATGTGTCACTGATAGAGTAGAGGAGTTTAATGAGAATAGGGCAGATTTACCAGAAAAACACTTTTCAAATGCATATATTTATTGTTACAAAGTAGTACACAGGAGGTTCAACTTAAACATAAGGAAAATCTTTACTGTGAGGGTGACAGAGCACTGGCACAGGCTGCCCAGAGAGGTTGTGGAGTCTCCTTCTCTGGAGATGTTCAAAACTACCTGGAATAGGTGATCCTGCTCTGGCAGGGGGGTTGGACTGGATGATCTTTCGAGGTCCCTTCCAACTCCTAATATTCTGTTGTTCTGTGACTACGCTATCCATTACATCCCTTTGCACATATGTGAATTTAAGCAGGCAGTCCAAGTAGCCAAGTGACCCCCAATGACCAC